ACAGATGGCCAGTCCATTCCGGGCCACGACGCTCCAAGAGCCTTGAAATGTTACAACTTGCAACTCTCTCCGTGGGAGAAAGGCCAGTTCCCGGGAAAAGGCCAGTTCCCACCACACAGAAAGCAGCCCTGTATTTCTTTTTTGTGCTGGTGGCTGTAGGTCAATGGAGCGGCCAAACATGGCTGTACTCATGTCAAGACAATTACATATAATGCCCATATTAATTTTCCCAAGGACACAATTCAAGCAGTTTGTTCCGGAGTCCTTATTCTTAATCACCATGCTGTGATGCCTCTCCATTGTTAAGGCTTGTAGTTGGGCAAGTGAGGGTAGGTGGATAATGAGCTTTCTCTCTGGAGAGAGTCTTCTTAAATCATTATATGTGGAACATGTGATTTACATACTGTGAAGGTAATCCCCAAATAGGTGCTTCACAAGAAGGGGCTTTACCATGTTTGAGGGTCTTCCGGATATATGGCACCATGGGCAAGTAGTCCATAAATGTCCTGGTTTCCTGTATGATTCAGCTCATTCCTCAGGTTGGCTCAACCTACTGCTTCTAGGTATTTGGTGATGGGTTGATCTCTGAGCTGGGGTGAGTTCCTTTAAAGGAAAGAGCTTAGTCCCAAACCATCCCTTAGACAAGAGCATGTAGGAGAGAAGATGTAGGAAGGCTGAAATTAGCTTGAACTTTTCAACTTTCTCATTTAGCAGCAAAATCAACCAACCAGGAATAATTTTTCTGAATCTTCCCTGTGCTTTTGTTCTCCTGGTGGTGAAAACAAAGTAGTGGGACAGGGAAGCCAAGGATTTGGAGGGCACACAACAATTAATCTGTTTGAAGCTTATTTCATCAAAGACGGAGAAGTTCAAAAGTTAAACCTTATCTTGCAGGCGCTTACGATGAATCTATGCCCCCATCAAGAAGGATTGCATTTATAAAATTGTCTTCTATCTGCTTCTTCTCATTCATTCATTCATTGACTCAACAGTTATTCAGCAACTACTGAGCATCTACCATGTACCACACAATTTTCAAGGTGCTAATCCTCTTTTCATTTCTCTCCTTTCTATCACTTCTATGGTTATTTTGATATTCTGTTGGGAATGGAGGACAAGTCAAATGGAAAGCTCCTAACATCAGAATATTTTATTCCCCAATATATTGTCTCTGTTCTCTCTTCTGCTCTCTACCTGCTACTCAGCTTCCTCAAATATGTGTTCACATACTTTTTTTTTTCTAGCTCTAGGTTCCTTTCCTACAGTATTTTGTTTTAGTCCAGAGTGCGTTCTTTTAGTGGAGCATTTCACTGAGAATTTAAAGTTTCGACCACGAAAGTGTTACTCTGGTTGCTTTATTGAAGAAACTTCCCACTTTTTAGACATGGTTCTCTCAGGTTATTGACATGAAAGCTTCTTAAGTTCTGGTCACTGCCCCCCCCACCCCCCCCACGCCCTCACCTCCCTTCAGTCCTAGGCTTGGGGTAACTAGTGTTAACAGTTTAGATTCCAGATTTAAAATTTTTGTATACGTGCTTTGTTCTCTTTGCCTCAGTGGAGTCACTCTGAGTGGGTGAATCCTCACATGCCTCAGTGGATTCACCAAGCAAACAGAAATTTAGATGACATGAATTTTGAACAGCCACCCTGGAAATAGATTTATTTTTATTCGAATGTTAGGTGGTGCCTTAAGGGTAATTCATTTATAGCGGCACATTTTAAGCTATATCACATTAAGTTGTGTCTGGTTTAAAAAAAGTCTTTTATGTAATGAAAAAAATTAAAATAGAGCCAAGTCTATAAAATTTAAGTACACGGTGGGGCCAGCCCAGTGGCGCAAGCGGTTAAGTGCGTGTACTCCGCTGTGGCAGCCCGGGGTTCGCGGGTTCGGATCCCGGGTGCGCACCAGTGCACTGCTTGTCAGGCCATGCTGTTGCGGCATCCTATATAAAGTGGAGGAAGATCTTCGGGCATGGATGTTAGCCCAGAGCCAGTCTTCCTCACAGCAAAAAAAAAAAAAAAAGAGGATTGGCAGATGTTAGCTCAGGGCTGATCTTCCTCACACACAAAAAAATTTAAGTACATGGTTATATTTTCTACTCAAACCCCCATTTTTTCCCAATGACAGGCAATTTTAATCAGTAATCAAGGAAAATTGGGAACTATCAGCCCCTATCTCCAGAGCTTGCCTGTGGGTACTCCAGCTTGTCCTCAGTATGGCCTTCCTTTCAGGGTGCTCAGGTGTTCATTTACCAGCTAACTCTTGAGCCCCACATCTCCAGGGGGCCTTGAAGTGCTCTCTGGGTTGCTGTGAGCACCAGGTCTCCGGTGGCTCTCGGGCCTCACCCCTCTGCACTGAGCACGCCCCTCCTGTCTCTGATGGCTCTACCCACCCTGCAGGAGCTCCGCACCTGGGAGGAGGAGCTGACGCGGGCTGCGCTCCAGCAGAAGAACCAGGAGGAGCTGCTGCGGCGCCGGGAACAGGAGCTGGCCGAGCGGGAGATCGACATCCTGGAGCGGGAGCTCAACATCATCATCCACCAGCTGTGCCAGGAGAAGCCCCGGGTGAAGAAACGCAAGGGCAAGTTCCGGAAGAGCCGGCTGAAGCTCAAAGACGGAAACCGCATCAGCCTCCCTTCTGGTCAGTGGCCAGGGACCTGCTGGGAAGTGGGAGCAGGGCCAAGGGCTGGTGTGGAGGGGATCTGTGGGGGCCACGGACTGAGCTTGGAAACGTGAGACCCTGGGTCTCAAATGGAGCAGGTTTGAAATGGGCCATTCTATTCAGTGGAAAGACTGGCCTGCTGAACAGCTCCCCCACTGCAGGGAAATTTTGGGGTGTGACTAAACACAGAATATGAAGGGAGGTGGACCTGCCAGGCGAGCACGGTCCAGGCTGCTGGACGCATGGGCGCTCGCTCAGGCACATCTCGCTTAAGCAAACCTGCAGAAGGAAGCATGTAATTGGGAAAAAACAAATCCAGGGTGTGTATGTTTGAGGCAAGAGGACTCTTGGCTCTGCAAAAGAACTCATCTCAGGGTTTCTTTAGATAATTAGTTCTCTGAGTGCAGTTGGGATTAGGATTAACGTATAAGAGTTTGATTTACACGTGACGTTTCAGAAACACATTGGCTGAATAAAGGTACATTTGTATATATACGCCTTGGGAAAATGCAAAGAAATGTGAAAGTATGACTTAGAATCTTTGTGGGGTATAATGTACCCAGGGAGGGAGGTGAGTGCTCAAGTGTGTGTTTATGTAGATAAAAAAGTTCATTGTATTCTGAGTCTATAAGGCCCCGGGAAGCAAGCTTATGCGTAGTATAAGGGACAAGGGAAAAGGCATAGGAGGAGGAGTAGCGGATGGTTGTAAGCACTAGGATGGGGGCTTAAGTACAGACAAGGGAATTCATTTAGTGAAATCCAGTGAGTTGTTCCTGGGCTGTGTTTACTGGTCTCCTTATTGCACATTTTCTTTCTTTTTGGGCAACATGGAGTCTTTAAGCACCCCTGGAGCATCTAGCATGTGTCAGCATGTCGCTGCGTGCTGGGGAAGCCGATGGAGAGCATTAGTGCCCACCTTCAGGGGGGTCACAGTCGAGTGGGGAGACCTAGGTGCAGCATGTGACGGTTTATTATATCTCTTGGATAGAGGAGGAGACTGAAACTCAGAAATTCAGAGCTGTAAATTTTACATTCTTTATGCTGTGCCTGAACTGCCTTTGGAAAATGTCAGAATTTGGACCATTAGCTCCATCTCTCTCACTTCCCTTGGTTCCCACCAAGGATTAGTTCTTATTACCCTGCTCTGCCTGCTTTTAGAAGCATCAGTCTCCCTGCTTTGGTCCTTGAGAAAAGGGGGTCATGTACTAATAGATTATATGAAACAGAGAATTTTAAGTTAGATTTCTAGGAATAATCAACAAACCTCATGATCTTAAAAAAACTATTCTAAATATATCATTGTCACACCTATATACATTATGTAGACAGCTGTATGAGAACTGTCTAATGACATTCACTCGGATAATGAATTTTCCTTCTCTTCATACGTTCATCTTGCTATCCTGCCATCTTTTGGGAAAAAGATGATTCTGGAAGAGAACATTTCCCAGGTGAACAGAAACTTCTCAGGCAATGGGGTCCTGTCCCTCGAGCCTGCCAGGAAGTGTCAGTTTTCTTATAGGAATTTGATTCTGGGAAAATTCTAATGCACACGCATGTGTTTGTCTTTGCTCAAGCAGATTTCCAGCACAAGTTCACGGTCCAGGCCTCCCCGACCATGGATAAGAGGAAGAGTCTCATCAGCAGCTGCTCTAGTCCTCCCGCAAGCCCCACCATCATTCCTCGCCTTCGAGCCATCCAGTGTGAGACTGTTTCCCAAATTAGGGGCCAGAACACATCAGGGGCACCTGTCCCCTGCTCTGTCCAGCCACCAACTGGTCCAGGCTTGCTCCATCCATAACTTCTGCCACTCTCCTCGACAATGTGTATATACATGCACATATGTACGCAAACCCTTAGCCCTCCTCCTTGTCTCTTGCCTTTAGCTTTACCACCGCCTCCTCTACCGTTCACTCCTAGTCAGATACCAGCGAAGGGGTTTGTAGGTATGGGTGGGATCTTTAGTGAAGTACAAGGCAATTTGGGAGCTGGTGCGTGATGTAGATACAGGTTGGTACCCTGGCCTGGGGACATTTTGTGCTCTCTGCCATATTTGGGCATCATTGTTTTTCTTTTGTCCATGCTTCCCGGGGAAGGGCTTTTTCGAAGTGTAGATCCTAAGGAAACTTGCCAAATACTTATGATAGGCCAGATCTGGACAAATTTTATTTTTACGGCAGTGTTTCTTAAAAAGAATTTATATGTACACAAATACACACACATATATATGCATGTGTATGAATATGTGTACGAATGAATTAGTTTCCCTAATTTAAGGGTAGAGAAATTTCATTAAAAAAACTGGATTTCTGGCTTTCCTTAAACAATCACATCAAATCAGTGGGTTCCCCTTTTCATGTGCTTGGTATTTTGCCTCTGTCCCCCGAGCTCCCTATTTTTTGGTAGCTGGCTCTCTTCACTCATTTATGATATAAGCTAGTCTCTGAAGCAGTTGGGTTTCAGTCCTTGCTCAAAAGTATCAGTGTCAGAAAAATGTTCCTCCTCTCTTATCTATTATATTTCTCTTGGCCTGTCCTGTTCCCCTCTCCTCCTACTCCTGACTTCCTTCTCCGTAATCTTGAAATCCTCATTTTCTTCCTTTCCAGCATTTTCTTACCCAAACTTCTGCACTTTCACATCTTCCTTACCGCTTATCTTTTTTCTCTCCCTCGTACCTCCTCACCCTCCCTGCAACCCCCGATCCAGTTCCACCCAACAAAACAAGTTCCTTAAGTCAGATCTGTTTGAAACTCTGATGTCTGGCTGGCTTGAGCTCCAGCTTTGCATTGCACTTAAGAGAATCTAGGAAGTTTTTCTGCGTTTGGTACTTTGGGAGTCTAAATGATTGGTGGCTGAGACCTCCATTACTTTCCCGGAAGGTTCCACTCAGGCACAGAGTTTTTTAAGAGGTCTGACTTATTCCCCACAGCTCCAAATGTGTGTGTGTGTGTGTCTGGTGGGGGAGAGGCTAGTTTTGGGGGGACCTGTCTGTCTCTTTTCCAGATCCCATCCAACCTCTGTCATTCACAGTGACACCAGGTGAAAGCAGCAAAACCTGGGGCCGGAACTCCGTCATCCCAAAGGAGGAGGGGGAGGATGAGGAGAAGAGGGCCCCCAAGAAGAAGGGACGGACGTGGGGGCCGGGTACACTTGGTCAGAGGGAGCTTGTCTCGGGAGACGAAGGGTAAGAGCCAGATGAGCCAGATGGCGGGAAGTTCTTTCTCATGCAAAGATGGGGGCACCCTTTAACACTAGGATACAGAATACCTTTTTCTTTGTTGTGTGTTTCACTGCTTTCTGAGAAATTACAAGTTTCTTGATCTTTGCAACAGAGTTTTCCAATCTCCTTGTTCCCTGGGACCTCCTAGGACAGAGATGGGCGTACTTTTTCCGTAAAGGGCCAGATAACAAATATTTTAGGCTTTGAGGCCATGTGGCCTCTGTCATCACTACTCACCTCCACTGTGGCTATGCAAAAGCAGCCACAGACTACGGGCAATATGTAATGAATGAGCACGGCTGTGTTCCAGGAAGACTTTTATAAAAACAAGTGATGGGCAAGATTTAGCCAACAAGTTGTACTTTGCCAACCCCTGGGGGCATCCTTTTCAGAGTAGTAAGTAGTAAGTAGTAAGAGTAGTAAGTAGCCCAAGCATTAACCAAATGTAAAGAGTTCTGCCGTGTGTTCTGCTTATACCTGGCTCTTCCCCTTAAAACGTCCATTCAGAGAAGAGAAGACAGAACAGAGGTTGCAGGACTCTCTTGACTGGAGGCCCCTCTGGAAGCAGGGGCAGGCAGGATAGTCCAGCCCTGGGAGTGCAGTTGGTTATAACTCCAGGGCCACCAGAACTCCTTTCAGACCCCACCCCATACCCACACTGACGTGTGTGAGCGCCCCCTGTGGGCAAAGCACTTGTGCTTTGCACACCTTAGTGCCTTGGATGTGCTTGTGTTCTCGCCCTGGGCTTGTGGCCTAGGGGCCAAATTGTCCTGAGCCCCGGTCCTTCACAGGCCAGTCACTTGTAGTGTAGTAGTGAAGAGCTTGGACACTGACCCCAGACTGCCGGGGTGTGAAGCCTGGCTCCAGCATGCCTAGCTGTGGGACCTTATGTTTTCTCGTCTATAACATGGGGATCATAGCCATACCCATCCCAAGGAGTTGATGTGAGGATTAAGTAAGTTCATCTTTGTGAAGTGCATGGAAGATTAGCTGGCTCAGTAAGCCTATGTTAATATTTACTACAATGACTCTTCCGTGCTTCTCATGCAATTCTCTCTCATACCCGAAGAATGAATGTAATGGTTTATACTTCTTATTCTTGGTGTTAGAATCTAGAACCATGTTCCTTGACTTTTCCAAGTGTGAGGATAGGCAGTTTTAGTGAACCCCCTTCACCCTTATTAGTGGTTTTTCGAAGAACTTCTAAGATTGACTATGAGGCTTATAGGTGCCCTGAACCTGTAACTGGCCTTTGGTATTTCTCCGAATACTAAGATTTCATGTCCGAAATCTTTTTCCTCATGTCAGATCTGAGCTGGAGGTGAAAATAACAGTTTGGTTCATAAAGGACTGACTCTTTGAAACTAGGCTTTAGAAATCACTAGATACCTTGGAATAGAAAATTTAGATATGTAGGGCAGACTACCTAAGCTATGGAAGAATTCAGTGATCGAATCCTCTGCGGATGGCAGATTGCTCTGCTGTACGAAGTTCTGTTGAAGCAAGAGCTGTTCACTTTATCCTCTGAGCTCTGGGCTAGAGTCGATTGAGCCGGGGCTGAGAAACTCAGTCACCCTGAATGCCTTGATATTTCTAACATTAGTGTGACTCCAAATAGGATTTACCAGGTTGGCTATGGATCCCAGTAGTTTCTATGGTTCTGCTTCATTTAAAGATTTTTTTTTGTCTTGCTAGTCAGTTAACTTTGTTTTGCATTACAAAATTTTAACTGTGGAATTTTCTTCTTCCTTACCTTGATTTGCCTTCAGAACTTTTGAAGCAGTTCAAAATATGTGACTTAATTTTTCATGATTGTCAATTCCTATTCAAGAAATAAAGTATATTCCCTCCAGGCCCCAGTAAAGACCTCTTTAATGTCAGAAATTTTTGAGAGCCTCTATATAATAATATTTCTAATTTTAGTCCCTGTTGATTGAAGAAAATATGTAACCACAAAAAACTATATTGAATTCAGTAATGTTAAGTGAATTTGGATCTCCATCTTTTTGAAGAAATAGTACATATCTTTAGGAAGCGTATGCACTTGTCTGCAGACAGCTTGGGTATCTATGGATTTACAGATCCCCTGCAATTAGGCTGTGGCTGCCCAGGGCCCTTTTTCTCACAGATTGGGAGGTCCTGGGCCTGTGGCAGCTCAGGCAGGGCCGTCTTGTTAAGATTCCTTCATGGTGTGGGCTTTGCTGACTGATCAAGGAAAGGCAGCTGGCGACGTAGCTGGAGTCCAGCCTTGAGGGTTCTCATGTGGGAGAGGCTGAGTGGATATACTTCTGTTGCTTACTGCTGATTCTCTTTATTCATTGAAGATCCCCTCAGAGACGCGAGAAAGCTAATGGTTTAAGTACCCCTTCAGAATCTCCACATTTCCACTTGGGGTGAGTCTAATCCTCACCCTTTCGTCACATGTACTGGTAATACTCCCCCTTCCACGTCGTTATTCTCACAGCACACCCCGTAGAACCACGCCTCGTTATTGCCCGGGCTGTGCTGACTTTTTTTTTAAAAGCCATACCATCGTGCACCTTGGGAAAATTCCTGTGTTGGTCCGACTTTACCACCTCACTTCCCTGGCCGCTACTGGTGTTAGCATTCTCCCGGCACCCTTAGTTTCAGGGAGACAGTACATGCTATTTGTCCTTCCGTCTTTAGCGCTTGCTTTGACTTTGCTGATCTGGATTTCCTTGGACCCAGAGCTGGAGGTGAGGTTATAAGATTACCACTTGGAAGTCCCAGGGTTTAGCAGTGTGCTTATCTCTGGCTCTGTATTTTGGTTGAAACCACTGGTGGCTGGAATGTATTTTAATTCATTGGTATTTCTGATTGCACTTGAAACAGAGATCTGAGGTCAGGGAAAAAGTTGGTCCTTCTCCCTCAAGAGGGGCTGGGCCTCTGGAAAGAGTGAGCTTTAGTTGAACGGCTCTTTCTAGCCCTAAAATAAGAGCCACCTCTGGTTATAAATCTGGTAGCTCCAAGGCAACCAGACCCTACAGAGTCCTCAGCCCTCCCTCTTATTATTGTCCTTTAGAGAGAAGACGGGTGCTTCTGGGCCTCTGATGCCCCCATCCTGTAAGGGGTTGTTGGGGTGTACACAGTCTGTATCCTCGGAGTTACTGGCTTGTCGGTGTGAGCTGATTGCAGGGGTTTGAAAGCGAGCTCCTGTCCTTGTCTTTCTACTCCCAGACAACCCGAGGGCTCAAGTAGAGCGTTATGCACCACCCACATAGGTCTGTCCCAAAGTGCACTGGGTTGGTGCAGCTTTGTTGGTTGATTTTTGTTTTTGAAAAGTCGATGGCTTTAAAAGTTGCACAAGCATGCCATAAGCTTGGAGGGAGAAATGGAGAAATGGGGTGAGTGGAGTATCTTGGCCCATCTCTGCTAGCTCATCTGCCCGATGCTTGCCTTGCATTGCAAGCCTTTGCATTGCAGTATTTCTAATGTCACCAATGTGTTGTATTCAGTGTCTGTGGGTTGACTGCTTCAAGTAAGACCCTGGCCGGTGCTGGGCAGTCTTTACTCTTTCTGTCTTCTTGCCAGCCTGCCCACCAGATCTTTCCAGAGCTCCAGGGCAGCATGTGAGGGGGGTGGGTCATGCCACTGCTTTTCTTTCCCTAGAGCATGTGCACTTTTGTTAATGAAGCAGGTGGGCTCAGTAATGTTCGTGGCCTGTACCCCAAGGCTCCTGGGCTTTGGTGTCATTAAGCGATGGGAGAGATGTTTCCAAAGGCCCATGGAGCTGAGAGTAGAGTAAGGGAAGTAACCAGTTCTAACAGTTTCATCATTTCCTCTATTCAGCCTCAAGTCCCTGGTAGATGGATACAAACAGTGGTCGTCCAGTGCCCCCAACCTGGGGAAGGGCCCAAGGAGTAGCCCAGCCCTGCCAGGGTTCACCAGCCTTATGGAGATGGGTAAGCATTGCCCTTGTCTTGACCCTCTAACTGTTCCCCCATGGAATTCTTGGCCAAGCTTCTAGGACTATTTAAGGACCCCTGGTGCTACTTTATGGGGGTTGTTTCCTTTTAGTCAACTCCTGGTCCCCTACCCTATTCCCTCCTAGTTTGCTCTTCTCCCATTTCACTGAATCTTCCCAGATCACTATTGCTGCCATGGAGCCTGTCCTTGGCCTCCTATCCCAAGAGGCCAGTTATAGTCTCCTTAGGGCAGTACAGAAGGGTGAGGCCTTGAATCGCCATTTCCCTTTCCTGGGTCCGTTTCCTCAGATCTTAACGTAGGGAGTCCTCAGAATGGTAGATGGTGGTAGAAGACACCACAGTCTTCCTCTAAGGAAGCTTTTCAGTGTTGCCTGTGATTACTGGATGGGTAAGGTCTTCTCCAGGCTTTCTCTCAGATAGTACTCTTATCTCTGTAGATTTCCAAGGTCATAGTAGGTCAGTCTGTAGAGTAGATTGGCCTTCACCCATGTTGGGGATTCTAATCCTTTGCAGGAGATTAGTCGTCTTTTAAGACAAGTCTCTAGACTAACATTCTAGAAATCCAAGGTCCCTTCCAATTTTAAAGTGCAAAAAAATTAGGGATGTTTCTGTTCTATCCAATGTTCTAGGAAACTCACACCGTACTTCTTGTGTTGAGGGTCCCTGTGAAAGGAGTCGCAAATTAGCAGATCCCCTTTCCTGCAAACAGGAAAACAGGCTCTGGAGTGGAGAGCGATTTCCCTATGTTGGTCACAGTTGAGTGTGGAGGAGTAAAGCCCTATTGGTTCAATGTCTGGTTCCTTGTCCCTCCCCTCAGACTCTTTGACCTCTGCATCCCTAATGCTAAGCCAGGGGGGCTGGGGTTGGGCAGAAGGACCAGATTCTTATTCTTGCTGCTTCATTTCCATTTCCTGTTTCCCTGCCACTCCTCTCATTTTCACAGAGGATGAGGACAGCGAAGGCCCAAGAAGTGGGGAGAGTTGTCTACAGCATTCACCCAACCAGTCCTACCTCTGTATCCCATTTCCTCGTGGAGAGGATGGGGATGGCCCCTGTAGTGATGGAGTCCACGAGGAGCCCACCCCAGTCAACTCAGCCACCAGTACCCCCCAGCTGACACCAACTAACAGCCTCAAGCGGGGTGGTACCCACCCCCGCCGCTGTGAGGTGGCTCTGCTTGGCTGCGGGGCTGTTCTCGCTGCCACAGGCCTAGGATTTGACCTGCTAGAAGCTGGCAAGTGCCAGCCACTTTCCCCGGAGGAGCCTGAGCCACCAGCCCGGGAAGAGAAGAAGAGGCGTGAGGGTCTTTTTCAGAGAGCCAGCCGTCCTCGTCGGAGCACCAGCCCCCCGTCCCGGAAGCTCTTCAAGAAGGAAGAGCCCATGCTGTTGCTAGGTGACCCCTCTGCCTCCCTTACGCTGCTGTCTCTCTCCTCCATCTCCGAGTGCAACTCCACCCGCTCCCTGCTGCGTTCAGACAGCGATGAGATCGTGGTGTATGAGATGCCCATCAGCCCAGTCGAGGCCCCTGCCCTGATCCCCTGCACCAACAACCCCTTGGTCAACGTCCGAGTGGAGCGCTTCAAGCGAGACCCTAACCAATCCCTGACTCCCACCCACGTCACCCTGTCAGCCCCCACGCAGCCCAGTAATCACCGGAGGACTCCTTCTGATGGGGCCCTCAAGCCAGTGGCTCTCCTAGGCAGCAGAAGCCCCTCCAGCAATGGGTTGAGCCCCAGCCCTGGAGCAGGTGAGTCCCATCCTCCTCCTCTTTTCTCTTTCCCACCTTTGTGCCTCCTCCAGGAGTGGAGATGTTAGAGTGGACTCCATTCCTCCTCTGACTCAGCCAATCAAGGCATGCTGATCTGGGGTGGAGGAGGTGGCCGACTTCTCTGTGTGCTGTGCCTCAGGGGGTCTTCCTTGAAGGGTGAAAGAAGACAAGCAAGTTCTAGGAAGAATCAGACCTGGGACTTTTGTGGGATGTTCAGGCCCTGGGTCTTGGAGTGTGTGGTGCAGTGCTTTCAGGGTACAGGAAGGGCAGGAGCCTAGTTCTGCTTGTTCCCTGAAGAGGAGACCAAACTTACTGGAAGGAATCTTGCACTGCACATAGGAAGGGTATTTTCTGCCACGTGGCAGGACTCTGGCCTCTTATTACAGCATTAGTACAGATACTCATAAGGCAAGCTTCCGCCCGGGCATCATGCCCTTCACCACTCATCCCTTACTCTTGCCTGACTCTTCAGATCTGGAGGTGTGTCCAGGTAGATTGCTGTGCCTGTGCATGTGCCTGCCTTCTCCACCTGACACCTGCGACACCTGGGCATACACACTCTTATCCTGGGTCTTTCCCACCACTATCCCTTGCTCCCTAGACAACCTAGGTCTGACTTAGAAACTGCCTCTAACCTAGTAGGAGAAGAGGGGACGGCAATACCCTTTCAATGAGATTTGAGTGTGAATGACAATTGTATTTTACCATTCGGCTTGCCCTCCCCCTCTTTAAATTTTTTGTTATACTCAAATATGTGACCTCTTTGGGAATAGAGTCCCCTATATTACTCGTCTTTAGATTTCCGACACCTAGCTTTGTTCCCATCACATGTGTATTAAGTGGATGAATTGTGAATGAACAGACATTTCCTTAAGTCAGGGGTCAGCACGCTTTTTTGGTAAAGGGCCAGATAGTAAATATTTTAGACTTTGTGGGTCATTTGGTCCCCGTTGTAACTATGGTACTCAACTCTGCTGCCTTAGTGGGAGAGCAGACAATGTGTGTGGCTGTGTTCCAGTAAAACTTTATTTACAAACAAAGGTGGCTAGCCCATGGGTCATAGTTTACCAACATCTGCCTTAAGTTATTTTGTTACAGACGTGACCCCCGTATGTCCCATTATCATCAGATAGAGGGACCTTCTAGTTCACTACTTTATGTATCCCCAGTGCCTTCCCACACACTGCATGGCACATAGTAGCTGCTCATTAAATATTTGTCATCATGTTCTCCCAAGTGAATAGGGATATGGCAGGGTGGAGAGGGAGCAGAGTATATCTGGCCCAGAAACGTGCCATTGTCTGATGCCTCATCTTTTGTCTCTTTGACCAGGAGTGTTGAAAACCCCCAGCCCCAGCCGAGACCCAGGTGAATTCCCCCGTCTCCCTGACCCCAATGTGGTCTTTCCCCCAACCCCAAGGCGCTGGAACACACAGCAGGACTCTACCCTGGAGAGACCCAAGACCCTCGAGTTTTTGCCTCGGCCACGTCCTTCTGCCAACCGGCAACGGCTGGACCCTTGGTGGTTTGTGTCCCCCAGCCATGCCCGTAGCGCCTCCCCAGCCAACAGCTCCAGCACGGAGACACCCAGCAACCTGGACTCCTGCTTTGCTAGCAGCAGCAGCACTCTGGAGGAGCGACCTGGACTTCCAGCCTTGCTCCCATTCCAGGCGGGGCCGCTGCCCCCCGCCGAGCGGACGCTTCTGGACCTGGATGCCGAGGGCCAGAGTCAGGACAGCACTGTGCCTCTGTGCAGAGCTGAACTGAACACACACAGGCCTGCCCCTTATGAGATCCAGCAAGAGTTCTGGTCTTAGCATGAAAGGGTCGGGGCTGGGCAAGGGGGAAGCAGGAGGAGCTGGGGGAGCTGGCTGGCACAGCCCTATCTCAGAGTTGGACCCCCTGAGATCCAGCCCTACTTCTTGCACTGATAATGCACTTTGAAGATGGAAGGGATGGGAACAGGGCCACTTCAGAGAGTCTCTTGCCCTGCAGAGCCTTTCTGTCACTGTCCACCGGAGGGACTGTGGCCATCAGCTCTGGCTGTGTAGGGGAGGGAGGGGTGCGTGCATGTCCCCACCCTCCAGTCTTCCTCGCCTTTACGGTGACCCTGCAGAGTCACTCAGCCAAATCTGTCTGCTGCTCCCTCTCCTCAGCCGCTGGGTATGCCCAGAGCCTATCCTGGGGTCCCTCTGTTAGCCCTGAATTCAGCTTTCCCAAACACCAGGAGTGGATGTTTTGTGATTGATTTTACTCCTCTGCCACATTCTTTCCCAACACCCATGGATCAGAATCTCATTTAGTGTGAGGTATGAGCTTTTCTGTGTCCTAAGCCCTTATGTGCCAGCTGGAGGACTGAAGGCAGGGTGCCCCAGTGTGGGGCAGAGGAATTGATGGACCTGGTACTGCCTCCCTGCACTTCCAGGGGCCCGACTTATTTATTTAAGCCTACCAGTGGTAGGGGACCTGCCTCAGTGAGAACTGGGGGAGGGCAGGGAGCTAGGAAAAATACAAGTCGAGTTGCAGTAAGGAGGGTAACACTGTTTATCCTTGTTCCTTTTGGAAACACTCAAAAAGAGCAGACACCTGTTGAGGGCACCCATCTCCTATCTAGGGTCGGCCGTGGTCAGACCAGGTTCTAATACAAACACATGCTCATCCCAGGAAGAGTTTCTTGGGAGACTCACTCACTGGTGCCAGTTCTGAAGCCAGAGACAAAGTTCCTATGTTTGTCTCTTTTGTAGTCTGATCTTTATGTCTTAGTCCCTTCCCTTGATCTTTCCTCCAATCCCTGGAATTAGTGGACTTCAGGTTATGTGTTTGGTTGGGAGGTGTCTCTACACTGCACCAAAATAGCATGTAGGGGTGGGTCCTGGACACTGGGAGTTGGAATTGGGGGGATTCCTTCTCAGCAGGCCATCCGTTCTGGGATGCCCTTGAAGTAAAATGGAGCCGTCGGTGGTCCCTTCCGTAAGTAGAGATGGTGAGGTGATGATGTTTGTAAGGTGTTGAGTGAACCACTGATGTACAGTAACGTGCAAGTCCCAAGCACTGGGTGCTGACCAAGGCCTCTTGTTTCTGTGCACAGATAGCCCCCAGCGCTGGGCTCTGGACCATGAGCTGGGTAGGAAGGACAACAGGGGCCAACCCTGCCTTTTCTGGAATGTGTTTCCTTAACTTGAATGTTGAGCTTCTTCTGGAGCTTTGTCATGTGGCTCTTCACTATTCCACTTACTCTGTGGCCTCCTGTGTCGAGTGTGCACAGTAGTCTTTGTGTGGAAATAACCACTTGGTTGGGAGTAGAGTCCTTAGGTTGTGCTCCCCTCCCTTCCAGACTCTCTAAATGTTGCTCCACTGTCTTTTATCGTGGAATATTTCTCTGGAGATGGTGGAGGCCAGCCTGCAGGTTCCTTGTGTTTGCTACCTGGATGCCAGAATGGGGAGAGCATGAAGGTGACACAAATAATGAATTTGGTCACTGCTCTCTGTAACTGTGATAGAAGTCACATCCTGGGGATGACAAAAGGGGTGACCGTGGTTTTCAAATTGTTCCTTGTTTTATGAGCCCACTGGCACTTTGGTTCAAGGGCCCCACCTAGTCTTGGAGGAGGTGGCACTGTTTGTTTTGTTGCCCAGGGTTTTGTTATTGCATCTCAACTCTCTCCTCTTTGTTCTGTGAAGCCAGTATGTAAGAGATGATTTTTGCCCCCATCCCCCACTCCTCGGCTAGGAGGGGAAAAAATGCAGATCCTTTCAGCAGTTCCAGCCAACCAAGTGACTCCTCTTCATTCTTGATGGGGAGAGGGACACAGATGGTCTGTTCTGTGCCCTTCCCCTGGACTCTCCATAGCCCCACTATGCCCCTAAACCCCTAAACCACTAACACACATATAAACCCTTGGCCCCACTAAATGGCCCCCTGGTGGGGTGCAGCCTACAGCATAATGCCAACCATGCTGGCTCTGGACAGTGCTCTGTGGTATGAGGCAGGGATTTTTCCTTTGCTTGTTTTCTACTTTTTGTCATTTGGTTAGCTTGCTGCCATCTTTCTTGGAAGTGGTAGTGTAACTGATGTAGTGTAAACTGAGTGACAGCCACTTGTCATTGAGTGAGAGGCTGTACCCAATTCTTGCTCCTCCATCCAGAGGGAAGACAAGGGAAGGCTAGGTCTCTGCAAAGGGAAGAATTGTACCTGCAAGAGGCAGAGGCAGAGTTATTCTGAAGATGCTTCCGTGAGTTTCCATGAAGATGGAGTAGTTATCATCTCTCAGCGCCTCCAAATGGGTGGGGCCCTACCTGCCACACTCTCTCTGTGGGGCAAGGCTGGGCTGGGATAAGGATCTGTCAAGTAACAGGTTTGAGTTGCTTTCTGTCCACTCAGCTTCCCTTGCCTCTATGGTGATGGTCAGCAGCAACCTTGAAGCTGGGGATCAAGGCCCTGCAGTGGCCGTAACCAGCCTCCCCCTCTCCCTTTCGTCAGACACTTTCCCTCTGCTCTTGGCAGGTGCTCACTACATGGAAGATGGTGTTAGGAAACAGATACTGTTCTCTGCCCCTTCTCCTTGGATCCTTCGGCTCCTTCCACTGATTCTAAACAGGATTATCCTCCGTTTACCGTCTTGGGGATCCAGGCCACTGCCAGGGTGGAGTAGACGTCCCAGTTATCCTCAGAGGCTTTGGTGGATTCTCTTAACTTTGCATCCTTTATTGTCCTGAGGGTCTGGTAGTAATGATGACGATGATGATGATGAAGATCTTGCATTTGGGCAGCTCAGAATAGTGCTAACCTTTCCTCCTGACATTTACAAAATTACATCATCTCCCTTCTACATTTGATATACTTGCTGGTAGAGAAGGGGAAATGCTTAAAGATGAAGATTCAAGTGAAGAGATATGGAAAAGCTACTTGGACTGATTGCTGAGTCGGGCACTGGTCTCTGAACGGGTTGGCTCTGTTCCCTATTCAGCTTTTGCTGTCTGACCTCGGGCTTGTCTCTTAGCCCCTCTCAAATTTCCTTCCTGTAAAAGCCACTATCACCTGCGTCCCTCACAAGGACACTGAGAGTACATATCAGAGCAGGTCGCTGAAGTGCATGGCTCCCTGCTGGCGACAAGGATGAATTGCTAAAGCTGGCAGTGTGGCGCTCACCGCCTCTGTCTCTAGGGGACTCGCCTACTGTTTCTTCCTTTGGCTTCTGGAAGAGGAATGATTTGGAGTTGGCTTAGCATGACTAATGGAGACCATGGTCAGGCACATACTCTTCTACGGCATTTATGTAGCACCTGTTGTTTACAAGCATCCTTCCTAATTCCCCCACTTAACTTGTCAGGCTGATCATCCCCAGCATTAGTGTCTTACATGGGAGGAAATGGGAGATGTGGAGGCTGGAGGTGGGTCTCTGATTTCATGGAGTCATTTCCAGAGTCTAATTTATTTGGAGACTGGAATAAGGCCGATTCCTGGAAGAATCTTTGGGAAAGGGTCTGCTGGCCTGTGGGACATGGGGTTAGGTTCCTCACGAGACACCTTTTCCCTCCGACCACAGTTGCTCAGGGACACGACGAGACACCCCAAGAGCGTCTAGGGCTGACTTGTCAACATTCTTGCTCCACAGTCCCCGCGTTGGAGGTCCGTCACAGGTCCTGCCCCCATGAAGAGGGAGACACCTCCCGAGCATTCCTAACTCTTCAAGCTCGCTTTTAACAAAGCACAGAGCAGCAGATACTGAAGACTGATGGCTGTGAATGGTACGCTTCAGGGTTGAAATGTCCATCCAGCAGGCTCCTCTGAATTTTCCTCATGTATTTAATTAAGACTGTGCCTTTGACTCAAGTGTGTGAGGGCCCTGCCCCGTCAGGCAGGTGAGAAACACTCTATTGCCTCTTGAAGGATTTGGGGAAAGAAGCAGATGCCAGGCTTCTCCTGAGGGCTCTGCCAGAGACTGTAGAACCAGGTCAGAGGTGAGAGCTGCTCGCAGCATGTTGTGATCATAAGTGAACGTGGTGGCAGGGGTGGCAGGAATCTGGTGATCTGAGCTGCCCCCCTACTAGTTGTGTGAAGTTACAAATGTCTCTTCCCCTCTCTGGACCTCTGAGCCCAGCTGTGACCTGAGGATGATGCTACCTTCCCTCCCTGAAGCACGAAGTCCTTCCAACTGTAAAATGTATGGTCGTGGAGCCCCAGGTCCAGCACTGATAAGCCTCACCTTGCTTGATGGCTGCCTTTGTGGAGAAAATTGTGTGTACGTGTGTGGTTGTAGGTCAAAAACTGTCGAATGTCGGCGGTTTCATTGGGTTCAACCCACCAGACCACCTGCCCCTCTCCAAGGCTTCAGGCCTGAGGATGATTTCTTGTCAAGCTACAGTTAGGAACACATTCCCAAATGCCTCTCTTCTTTCAGACAAATCATTGCTTTCTTAGATCAGGAATTCAAATTAATAACAATCCACATCAGAAAGGAAAACTCACTGCTGCTTCCAGGCCTCAGTCCCTGGCCCTTTCCTGCCTTGCTGCCTGGGTGCTCGCCACCCCAGGCGCCGGTGTTGGAAGGCAGTAGGCAGAAGCCGGAGTCCTGGCTCATTAAGGCTAATTAACAAGGTTTAGGTGCCTAATTAGCCTGACCCAGCCCTGGGCTTCTGGTTGGCTGTGCAGGCCAGGTGGGCCTCTCTCATCGACTTCTTTTCAGACTGTTGACTGAGTATTTTCTATTTATCCTGATGAGATATTGACAGGCCCACCTCCTCCTTTGTCCATTTCTCATCTTGGGCCCTGGAAGCACCCTGTCCTCCCTGGGCTGCCCTGGGAGCTTTGGCATTTGTTCTTTGGAAGGTTGGGCTCACTCCTTAATCTGGAGCCGGGAGGACTGGTCCTTCCTGATTCTTAGCGCCTGTGGTTCCCTGTGTCCCCTGCCCGTGGCCTCGCTTTGGATCTTTAGCTCAGGACTGCAGCTAGAAGTAGAGAAGAGCCTCGGGGCCCAGGTGGATACAGAGCCAGGAGGTTTTCCACCCCTCTCTGTTTCTCTTGGAAACAGACTCAACCTCTCCCCTGAACCATCTTCCCTCCTGACTGGTCTGACCCACCCTCCCTGCAAACACCCACAACCTAGCTCTACTAGACTGATTGGCAGGCGTGGACCTGACAACTAGATAAGTATCTCAGGACGGGACACTGGAGTACAATTCCAGAGGTTCAGAGACAGGCCTTTTCTACTGGGATGTGTAGGGCGGACATCCAGGAATTTTGCCCCCAGAGGTCAGATTGGTTTATGAAGAGGGGTCCTGGTGAGTGATGGCCCCGTGGATATGGGGTTACTTGCGCTGCACTTACTCAAGTCCAAGACCGAGTTTCAGAGGTAATATGTTGCCCACATTCCTGAAATCCTTCACACTTAGATACCTGCTTTGATGGATTCTGGATTTATAAATTTTGATATTGTGTTCATCATGGATTTTTTCATTAATTTAAATATTTTAAAATACTGCATTGAAATATGGTTTATCTTGATTCCTGAGGTTTTTGGTGCCCTCTTAAATTTTGCATCCCCGGCGAGTACCTCACTCACCTCACCCCAGTCTCAGCCCTGCCTGCCCCTCACCTGCATCTGTGATGGTGCCTAGGCAGAATGGTGAAGTGGGTTTTAGGTTTTTTCTGGTCCCCCTTCCCCTCAGTCCTGAGTGAGGGAAGCTCTCTGGGAGTTTTTGCATGTAAATAGGAATGTGTTGACTTACAGCGTGATGCACGTAGGACAGCTTTCCAACTTGGACCTACAACCAGGGTGATGTTTCCTTGAAGTTCTCCAGCTTCCTTTCAGCTTCTTTGAAACCGTGAGGCCAGTGAGAGGCATGTCTGTTTTCGGGGAAAGGGAAGTAATTACAGTGGAGAGGATCCTTTAGATTCTCATCTTCAGCCTCTTGGGGACGTCTTTGAATTTCCAGAGGAGTGAATAGATCGTTCTCGCCCCCAGATTTCAGAAAGGACTGCAGCGGATGGAGGCGTTTTCAGTCCCTGGCATGCCGAGAGCGGCATCTCTGGCACTGTGCCTGGCCCACAGTGACCTTCATGATGTCGGCCAGCACGTCACCTCCACCAGGATCCTTTTCACCATTATCGTTCTGTGTCGTCTTTATTTCACTCTCGTTATTTACCTCTTCCTCCAGTTCCAGAAGCCATGCTGGCTATGGCTCTTTTCTTCATCACTGTCAGAATGAGGCAGGGGTTCATCCTGGCCTGGGGATGGGACTAACAAATTATAAGGAACCATTACATTTCTTCTGTGTGGGAGGTGCTGTCCTAGAGGTTTATATTCTTTTTTTTTTTTTGACTCAATAATCCTGGGGTGGCAGGGTATTACCACCATCTAAAGATGGGGAAACTGAGGCTCAGATGGTTATGTAACGTGCCCGAGGTCACACAGCTAGGAAGTGACATTGCTGATCTGCTTGACTCCAAAGCTGTCTCACATTGCTGATCTGCTTGACTCCAAAGCTGTCTCACATTGCTGATCT